CATTGCAGAGGCCTGAAGACCTGGTACAGGACAGAGGCTGGGTCCTAAGAGCTTGGGGATCCACTTAAGGACTTTCCTTTTTTTAAGCAACAGTAAACATTTCTTTTCTCACACAGTGTCTGTGGATCAGGAATCTGGGAGTGGCATAGCTGAGTAGTTCAGGCTCAGGGGCTCTCATGAGACTAGTCAAGCTATAGGCTAGGGTTGCAGTCATTTGAAGGCTTGACTGGGGCTGGAGGATCCACTTCAGGATGGCTCATTCAACAGTTGGCAAGTTGATGCTAGCTGTTGGCTGAGGGCCTCAGTTCTTCCCCATGTGGACTCTCCATAGGGCTGCTTGAAAGTTTTCACAATATGGTGGCTGGCAATTTTCGCTTTACCTTCTGGTCTTTCCCCTTTGTTTCCTTCAGTTGCTATATCACCTTTAGGGGTTTTTTGGGGTTTTTTTGGCTTTCTTTCCCAACGTTTTTACTGTGGTAAAAGACATTTAGCATAAAATTTACCATCTTAACCACATTTTTAATAGTACAGTTCAGTAATATTAAGTACCTTCACATTGTTGTGCAACCATCACCACCATCCACCCACAGAACACTTTTCATCCTGCAAAACTGAAACTCTGCACCCATTAAACATTAATTCCCCATTCTCCCCTCCCTTTAGCCCCTAGAAACTACCATTTTACTTTCTGTGGCTATGAATTTGACTACTCTAGGTACTTCATATAAGTGGAATTATACAGTATTTGTCCTTTTGTGACTGGCTTATTTCATTTAACATAATGTCCTCAAGGTTGTAGCATGTGTCAGAATTTCCTTCCTTTTAAGGCTGAATAATATTCCATTGTTATGTAAATACCGCTGTTTGCTTATGCATTCATCCATGGATGAACACGGGTTCCTTCTATGTTTTGGCTATTGTGAATAATGCTGCTATGAACGTGAGTGTACAAATATCTCTTCTAGACCCTCTTTCAATTCTTTTTGGTATATACCCAGAAGTAGAATTGCCGATCATATGGTAATTTTATGTTTAATTTTTTGAGGAACCACTGAAGTTTTCCATAGCAGCTGCACAATTTTACATTCCCTACAACAGTGAACAAGATTTCCAATTTCTCCACATCCTTGCCAACACTTGTGATTTTCTATAATAGTCATCTTAATGGATGTGAGATAGTGTCTCATTGTGGTTTTGATTTGCATTTCCCTAGTGATTAGAGATATTGAGCATCTTTTCATGCACTTGTTGTCCATTTGTATAAATTAGTTAGAATTTTATGTCTGTTCAAGATCTTTGCCCATTTTTGAACTAGGTCTGTTGTTTTTTTGTTGTTGAGTTTTAGGAGTTCTCTATATATTCTGGATAATAATCTCTTATCAGACATGATTTGCAAATATTTTCCCCATTCTGTGGGTTGCCTTTCCTCTGTTGATAGTGTCTTTTGATGCACAAAACTTTTTAACTTTACTGAAGTCTGATTTATATATTTTTTTCTTTTGTTGCCTGTGCTTTTGATTTCATATCCAAGAAATCATTGACAAGACACGTGTGACGATGTTTTCCTCTCACGTTTTCTTCTAAGAGTCTTATAGTTTTAGTTCTTATGATTAGGCTTTTGATCCATTTTCAGTTAATTTTTTATATGATATTAGATAAGGGTCCAACTTCATTCTTCTGTATGTGGATATCCATTTTTCCCAGCACCACTCGATGGATGCCATGTCACTTTTTCACTCAGGACCATAATGCTTTTGTCTGCATGAGGAGTCAGCCAGAACACATTTTCATCCACATCTCTACGTGGACCAGAAACCACACAAATATATACACTGCTCTCAATGCAATCTCTGCCCTGCCCTACTTACGGATTTTAGGCGGGAGAGTTACATGGTTCCATTTATATATATAAAGGTCATTTTGGACTTACCATGAAAAATTCATTGGGTGGGTGCAATGGCAGGGGGGAAGAGTTCTGTTACTAGACTATTGAATTAATTCAAGTGAGAGACAGCACCTTGGACTTGAGTGGAGGCAGAGGAGAAGGCAAGAACTGGAAAGAATTAAGCAATATTTAGCATTAAACATGACTACACTTTGGGAAGGATTAATCACGAAGGAGGGCAGTGGGGGGAGCAAGATGTCATCAATCACTCCCAGTTCTCTGGCTCACCACTTCACTGAGATGAGGGACACTGGAAGAGGAATCAGTTGGAGGGAAGGTCTTGAGTGTGATTTTGGACAGCATGAGTTGAAAGAGCCTTTGAGATATCCAAGTGGAGGTGCTGAGTACACAGAGGAACTCTAGGGAGAGAGGGGGACTGAAGCTAGAAAGGAGAGGTCATGTGGGAACAAATGGGGACTGGCAGTGTGGGCCTCACCAAGGTTGCTGAGGAAGAGCAGAGTAGAAGGGAAGGGGGCTCAGAATGGAGCCCTGACAAGCCATGCCATTTAAAGCCTGTTCTGAGAAGCAGTGGCCAGACAGGAAAACCAGGGTGTTCGGTGTCTGAGAAGCCGTGAAAAGAGGGTTGAGGAGGAAGCAGGCAGGACAGTCAGACGTGCTGAGAACCCAGCCTGAGGGGGACTAAGAAATACACATGAGGTGGCACCAGCACAGCCATCAGTGACCACAGCCAGAGCTGCGGACAGACGGGAAGAAGCAGCAGAGCTCCTGGAAAGAGAGTGGGAAGGGAGGGACTGGACACTCCATGTGCAGACAACTCACCTGAAGAGTTTGGCCAGAGAAGAAGGCAAGCCTGGCAAGACAGGACAGCAGCTGGAGAGGTCAAGCTTGTTTCAACGTTGGTGTCTTTGTGTCTGCACCAGGACCATATCCTCCCATGTTCTCCGCTCGACCAGGAGACAAGGCTCAGGGGCCAGGTCCCGCTTCTGTGCTCCCTCCTGTTCTGAGTAGGGCACACTCTTCCCTCAATGCATCCAGCCTGCTCCCATTCGGGTACATGTCAGTGACACCCAGGGGATCTTGTTTACCCACTGATAAGCTCAGTTCACGTTTCTGTCCAAACAGGCACATGCAGTTATACTGTTTGTCTCTGGCCCCTTCACAATCGTTCTCTCCTGTCTACATTAGCAACCACGGGCACTTCTTCCTGGTGCCTTCGAACTTACCTCTCAGCACCCTTTCCCTCTGGGCACAGAAGCGGGACCTGGCCCCTGAGCCTTGTCTCCTGGTCGAGCGGAGAACATGGGAGGATATGGTCCTGGTGCAGACACAAAGACACCAACGTTGAAACAAGCTCCCTTCTGGGCAAAAACTCACATCAATCAAAATGTCAGCCACTTTAAGTACATAAATGCATTTCATCAAGCACATAAGTAACAGTGTTCACAATATCAGGGCCTTCTCCAGCAGACAGCCACACCTGCGATGACGTGTGCGCGCGCGCGCTCACGTTCATGTAAGTGTGTGTGCACCTGTGCGCTCATGTGTATGTGGGGGGTGCCTGTGTACTTGTATGTGCATGGGTGTGCGTGTGCACTTGGGTGTGCATGCAGAAGTGGGGGGTCAGTGTGCTTGCCTTGGGACAAGCGGCAGCTTTAACACCTTTTCCCAACTCTGCTTGCTGTGGACTGCAGCCCCTGGGAAGCCTGGCACCCCCGACAGATAGCAAGGCCACAGAGAAGGAGAAGAAGCCGCCCACAGCAACCACCAAGGCCGGAAGAGGAAAAGGAAAAGGCAAGAAGAAAGGGAAAGTGAAAGAGGAGGTGGAGGAAGAAACTGACCCCCGGAAGATTGAGCTGCTGAACTGGGTAGGTGGAAAGCCTTTGCTCCCATTTCTTGGGATCATGGAGATCACGGATCGGTCACCCTCTCCCTCCCGGGGAAGGGGCAGCTCTGGTTGCCTTCCCTTCAGCCCCGCCTGAGGGAGGCCCTGAGGCCCAGGAGGCAGTGGTAAAGCATCAATGGGATGGTGTCAGTATTTCAAACAGCAACCACATGTTTGTTGTGATGCTGCTGTGGGGTTGTCATAAACATTCCTGCTTCTGGGGAGAATGAAGCCACCCAGATAAGAGGCCTAGGTCATCTTGCTCAACAGCGGCTTTCTCTGCCTGGCAGACACGCAGATGCTTGATGCGTGAAACTATGGGAAGCAAACCAATTACAACCAAATAAACGCAGTTCGGGGAGCAAAACCTTTGTGAAAGATGTGGTGGTTGGGTGTGTGGAGGTAACAGCAGTTGTCTGGGCTGGGAGGCTGGAGCCACACATCCCACAGTGGTTCCTGGCCTCGCTGCTGTCAGGACACAGGCAAGACAGGGCACTGGGCCTCTGCAGTGACATGTGACTGGCATCGTCAGAGTCACTCACCCCAGTGGCCTGCTGTGTGCCCACGGGGTCCCACCTTGCCGTGAGGGTAATTCTCAATCAAGGAAACAAATTCTCTCCAGTTGCCTTCTCTAGCAAGACTTCGCACTATATTGAGTGCTGCAGGTTCCATCATTTTTAAAGGAGAGGGACATAAATGATCAATAACGGTATATAAAATATTACAATCTACCACCTCAAAAAACATTGTTTACGGAGTTCGGAGCTTGCTGATTCAAGTACTGATTGCATTTTTATTTTGAATAGGATACTACAATGTATGTAGTTTTTCTTTCTTATGTTTATATTAAAAGAAAAGCTAATGAACTGTATTTTAATTAAAACAGAAAAACAAAACTGGAAACTGGAGAGAGCAATGCCAGTTGGGTGGTAATTCTGAATCCCCTTCAATTTGTTTGAAAAAAGAGAAAATCATGTATAAACTTTGATACTTTGATAGGACATGTAGGGGCCAAACTAAGATGAAAGGAGACGGAGTTGGGCATGTTTATTCAAGACAAAGAGCAAAGAAAACCATGTTCAGAAGACTCTAGGATCTGGGGGATATGCTTGCCGAGATGTTTCCAACCTGCTCCTGCCTAGTGTCCCTCTGAGGGGCCACTCACAGGCTCGCTTTCCTTGGTTGGTGCAGGTGAACGCTCTGGAGCAAGCCATGCTGGACGCTTTAGTCTTAGATCGAGTCGACTTTGTGAAGCTCCTGATTGAAAATGGAGTGAACATGCAACACTTTCTTACCATTCCGAGGCTGGAGGAGCTTTATAACACAGTGAGTGTTCCAGAGGAGGGAAGGCAGAGGGGAGCTAGCCATGTGAATATATTTGCCACTGGTGTGTATTATGCATAAATGTGCTCAGACGAGCATAGAATCATGAGAACATGATTTCAGCTGGGAGGGCCATCATTTATGGCAGGCAGCTTTCTCACCTGCTGCTGGCCACAGTCTATGTTCACATTCTTACAACTACCGCCAGGCCTAGCCGGATGCTCTCTTCCGGAGCAGTATTAACTTGGGTGTGGTGTATGAGGACTAGTTTATGCCAAGAGAGAATCTAGCCTCCTAAGTCATCAGCAGAGTGAAAAGTTACCAGGTGAGCAGACATTTGTTCCTTGGGACTCTCACTTTTTTATGTGGCTTTGGTGAAAAATGTAGAACTAAGTTCTCACTGCAAGGAGCTCCACTCTGTTAGAATGGAAGTGTTTGGATGAAATCCTCTCGGCTTTTATTATTACAACATGAGTTTTGAGAATTTACGTTTTCTTCCCCATTCTAAAATTTTAAGTAGCAGAAATGGTCCTCAGCAGTTGCTTGCTAAAACTTGTTGGTTAATTTTAAACATAATATTGTACATCATAAGATGCTCTTTAAATTAATTTGGTAGAAAGTATTTAACACATTTTTTCATGTGTTGGATACTTTTTAACCACAACCAGGTCTGTCTCATAAAAGAAACAGGCTGAGATTGGGTTACATTCCAGCTTTCATAACTCATTAATTCTATACAGTAGGGTAAAATTTTGCTCCAAGAATTGAAAAGAAAACATATTTAATACGGCTGAATGCTTCCCTTTCAGAGACTGGGTCCACCAAACACACTTCATTTGCTGGTGAGAGACGTAAAAAAGGTCAGTCTGCTGTTTTATAATCCTCACCCATTGGCATCTTTCAATGAGACATTTGTTTCAAGCTATTTTTAAATTTCCAAAATATGTTGCCTTATTATTGGAAGCATAGGAAATAAGGAATTCCTCTCTCCCTAAAAAGAGTTTACTTAAAACTAAAAAAAAAGAATCTTTTTTAAGTTGAATGTTCATCCCCACACGAGAGACTCATGCTGATTGACTGTTGACTACGGGTTGGCACTATTACCAAGGCTGAGGCAGCAGCCAGAGAGGTCTCACCTTAGCTGACCTGAGCCGCCATCCGTCAGTGCAGCATTCTGTCCTGTATCTACTTTAAGAGCTGCCTCACTCCTTTGCTGTGCCTCCTTCCAGAAGTAGCAGCAGCACAGGCCTCTTGTCGTTCTGTGAGCTCTGCGGATTGAAGAAGTTGTCTTGGCCCTCTCTGTTCCCTCGTTAGTAAGGGACAGATGTTTCCCCATGTCCCACTGCACTAACTACGCACAGTCTGTGTTCTTGCATGGTCTCATTCGCTCGCTGTCTTGTCATGGCATTTCTGGAGTCGTGTCGCCACAGGCTGGAGGATTAGATGGGGTTAAGTCAGAGTGATTCATTTCCCTAGAATGCAGTCCCTGGCGTGAAAGTGTGGAGCGTGCGTTCATATTCTGAGCGAGAGAAAATAACTCAAATGAGAGAACAGAGTTTTTAGTCAGTCCTAGATATTCTGGTCATATTGCATACAAATATCTAATTCTAATAATATGAGAATTTGGCTTCGGCAGACACTCATTGAGTCAGAACAGAATCAGTGGATCTGGGAACCACGACGGATCAGTGCCCTGTCTCTCTACACAAGGAATCTGATTTCCCAGATTTCTTGGATTAGGAAGTGCAAACATTTAAAAGCTACAGCTACCCAAGTTCAGACCTAACCATTCTCACCTACACGACTTCCGCAATCCTCCTCCCACCTCCAGCCCCACTCCCTCCCGCTGTCGTCTCCAGTCACAGGACTCCCCGCTTAAAATCCTCCAAAGACTCATGAAATTCAAGCTCCTTCCAAGAAACTTGCTCCCCAATGGGCCTAGCCCCGTCCACATCTCCTACTCTTTCCCATCATTCCCCAGGCACAGGGCACGTTAACCATGCAGACACCCCAGTGCCCAGAAGCCCATGTTCTAACCCAGGACTACGCCTCGCTCACGTCCACAGTGCACTTCCTCCTGGTGCCCGCAGTTCCTGCTCCGCCTGCTCCCAGCTCCCTTGGGTGTCACGTTCTCCAGGAAGCCTTTTCTCACCCTCCCACCTGCCCATCCAGGCAGAGCTGGGGGCCGAACATGCTGCTGCATCAGGGCAGTGTGTAGCTTTGCTCCTCTCCCCTAAAAGAGCGAGCTCCCTAAAAGCAGGACTGTATCCCCTTATCTCTGCATATGGAATCCCCAACAGGGTCAAGGATCACAATAGAGGCTAAACACACACATAATGCCTGGGTGAAGGATTTAGTAAACATGACCAGTCCTATTGTAAAGGGAAGATATTTGGGATGTGTAATACCCACGCCATGGACCCCAAGTTACCACCATCATTTCAGCCATGTGAAATCAACCAAGCATTACATGGCACACAGCAAACAATCCTAATCGACCCGTCAGCTCTGCCTCCTGGATAAGTCCGCTGCCCACGGACATGAATGACTGACTTACAAATGCACAGACTGCCTCTCGTAGCACTTTTCCTCTCCCCCTACACACTGACTTTGTCTCAACATACCCTCCTCCATTTTGTTGCAGGACTCCACCCCTTCACCAACTCCCAGTCACACCAGATAGTTTGTGGTGTTTGTGATCTTACTGAAATCTGAGGGGTCCCCCAGAAAGTCACAGGGCACAGAGCAGAGCTCCCACCAGAAAAGTCCCAGCCCCAGAGATATTCTGTCCTCTCTCTGCCTCCCGTGGAGTCCTCCTGCCGGTTTTGCGGGTCATTTCCTTCTGCGTGAAATCTGGACTCCAGCCCTCTGAAACTTGCTTCTCCCCTGAAAACAGCTATCAAAGCACCTTCTCATCAAAACTAACCCACTCTTACAAAGGCAGTCTCACCCCAGCTTTACATCTATGCACACCCACTACGGGCCATTCTGTAGGAGCCAACGAACATGCTCAGTCCTCTACCCACAGCCTCATGGGTTTCTACCTCTTCTCGTTGGGAAACTTTAGCCCATTTTATGAAATATGGCTTAACCCATCATCTCCCTCAATCACGTGGTAATAGACTGAATATTGTTTAGTGTCTGTCCATCACACTAACGCACAAGTTGTGGCCAGGAATGACCACTATGCCTGACGTGTGATGAAGTCCACACTGCCAGTGCGTTCTTGCGGGGCCTGAGACAGCTTCTCTGCTTACAGGGCAACCTCCCTCCTGACTACCACATCAGCCTCATAGACATAGGGCTCGTGCTGGAGTACCTCATGGGAGGCGCCTACCGCTGCAACTACACTCGGAAGAGCTTTCGGACCCTTTACAACAACTTGTTTGGACCCAAAAGGGTAGAACTAAGTGAACGTGTGGTGTTCTGTGGTTTCTGGAGTCACATGTGGTTCCCTGCTGTCCTTTTCAGTAACTCAGCCTGTTCAAAGCCAAGCTCATCACCCCATCCCCAAGCACACCTAGCCCTCCTCCTGCAGCGACTCAGGTGTGAGGCCTCAGCCTCCCTACAGACGCCCAGCCTTCACCCAGAGCCACTCTCCTTCACCCCTTAGCAAATGGGGCACTCAGCCCATCCAGTGCAGCTGCCCTCCGTCCTTTGTCTACAAGAGCCCTCCTCCTGGCCTCATTAGTCCCTGCCCTTTCCAATCCACCCTACCAGCCGTGCAACCCTTGTCTTCTAAAGCAAGGGATGCAACAGTGCACTTGCTGCTCAAAAACTCCCAGTGCTCCCCACCGCCTGAAGAATCACTGCCAAGCTCAGCATCACAGCATCCGAGGCTCTCCACCAGCATCCCCACCCTGTCGTGGGAGACCATGCACCTCCACCGAAATCAAATTGTACTCCTGGGCCAGCCATGTCTTTCCCAGATCAAAATACTGCTCTTATCACAAGCCCTACTCAAATGTCAGATATTCCATGAAGCCCTCCTCTCTCTCTCGACTTAGAGTCCCTGTAGCTCTGTGTCTGCATTTCTGTTAGGGAACTTCTCTGGTTCCACCTGCATTAAGGGTCACGTGTCTTCATGTCTTTCTCTTCAGCTGACTTCAGCTGACAGATGCAGAGTTTCCATATTAAAGCATTTCCTTTTTCCTTGGATATTGTCCATAATTGTTAATGATACAAAGTACTTTTTAATCTATTATTATATCTCCTACTAACAATACTACTAACGTTAGTTATCGGAGTAAATTGATTTTTTTCTTCCCTTTCATTATGCAGCCTAAAGCTCTTAAACTTCTGGGGATGGAAGTAAGTAGGATTTGTTTTCAATAGGTCTGTGATATCTTGGTCAAATATATGTAGCCATCTTCATTTGTGTTTGTTTAACATAAAATTGAATGTTTGTTTTCCATGAATAAATCCACTACACTACGCACCAAAATTTACTTAGATGATTTCGTTGAATTATATAAAAGGATCACAGACATTTAAAAAAAGATAAAAACTACTCGATTCATTTTATGGCGTTAGCAAAACCATGGTTTCAAAAACAGACAAAGATTAAACAAAAAAACTAGAGAATATTGCCACGTATATACGCAAAAATCATAAAACACCAAAAGAAATTCAATGGAACATTTCTAAAGTCCTAAACAAGTAACTAAAGTCTTCTAAGAATGCAAATATAATTTAATGTAGTAAGTCTTTAATATATTGCATCATATCAATAAGTCAAAGAAGGAAAACAGTATGATGTGATCATTTTTCAATAGACACTAAAGAGGAATTGAAAAAATGTAAACAGATTCCTTAACTTTTTTAAAAAGTTAGTTTACTAGAAAGAGAATGCTAAAATCAACATACTCTCAGATATGATTAAAATACATGTATACATTATAGTAAGAGGAAACCTATTACAGAGCAGTGGCTCACTGGAGTCATTTCTATTAAAGAACAAGACAAGCATACCCACTATCATTGGTATCATAATTATCCCCATTAGTTTTTGAAATTGTTCTTTTAAAATTGTACCACGTGGCCAGCCCCGTGGCTTAGCGGTTAAGTGCTCGTGCTCCGCTGCTGGTGGCCTGGGTTGGGATCCCGGGCGTGCACCAACACACCGCTTCTCTGGCCGTGCTGAGGCCGCATCCCACATACAGCAACTAGAAGGATGTGCAGCTATGACATACAACTATCTACTAGGGCTTTGGGGGGAAAAAATAAATAAATAAAATCTTTAAAATTAATTAATTAATTAAAATAAAATTGTACCACGTGAAAAAAATAAATATTAAACAAAAAAATACCTAAAACAGGAGTTTTAGGTATTTTAGGGAGAAAATAACTATCAGCAAAATATATTATTTTGTATCTAGAAAACCCAGGAAAATCAACTAAAGTTTCCTCACAATAGGACAGAAGTACCCAGAAATGACCTTAATGAGGAACCTTAAGAACGAATCTCTTCTCAAATAAATTCTCAAATTTACCTTCTCAAATAAATTCATGAGTTAAAAGCATCCCAATTTCTGTATGGATTCAGGGTAGAAGGTTTGGATTCTGTGTTCACGATTAAGACTGACCCTTAGCACTGTCACATCAGAGTTGACGGAGTTGTTGTCCTATAAGTGTTATGATATGGAGCTTTCTGTAATTTCCTATTCTCTCAAATTCTTTACATCATTCTAGGGTTTATCTGTTCAGTAAAGATTCACCTGCAGAATAGTCTGGGTCCACTCCTCTTTTTTAGAGGCATATCTTTCACTACCTTTATAATAATGTTTATAGTATGAGTCCATTCAGGCTATTTTCTAGACTAAGTTTGGTCATTTATATTTTCCCAAAAAACAATTAATTTCATCTAGACTTTCAAGTTCATTGGTATAAACTTTTCTATAGGAGTCTAATTTTTTAAATCTCCTCAATATCTTGGTTGTGCGCCCTTTCTTCTTCTGATATTTTTTTTTAAATTTATATCTTCTTTCTTTTTTTTCGTAACCAAACTTGCCTACATATTTGGTATTTTTGCTTTATCAAGCAACTTTTCTTTTTTCTGTCTTCTATTTTATTAATATCTGTTTTATCTATTTATTTATTTTTAGTAGAAAATCCTTTTATTTTCCTTCTTTGCTCCTTGGTTTTTTGTTTGTTTGTTTTGAGGTAACATTGGTTTACAACATTACATAAATTTCAGGTGTACATCATTATATTTCAACTTCTGTGTAGACTGCATCGTGTTCATCACCCAAAGTCTAGTTTCCATCTGTCACCATACAAATGTCCCCCTTTGCCCTTTTCACCCTCCCCCCAACCCCTTCCTCTCTAATGACCACCAACGTGTTCTCCATATCTGTGTTTATTTATTGTTTTTTTAATCTTCCACATATGAGTGAAATCATACAGTATTTGTCTTTCTCCATCTGACTTATTTTGCTTAATTATCTGCTTTATTTTTATTCATTCCTTCCATATACTTTCTATAGAGTTACTGTATTATTTTTATTGACTCCACTTGAAAGTGATGTTCGCTTATTTTCAATCTTCCAAGTGCATGAAAGGTATATATTTTTCTCTGAGCATTGTTTTCATGTTATTCCACAGGTTTGGGTAAGTAGAACCTTCATTGCCATTCATTTCTAAATAGTTTATAATTTTCTCTCTAATACAAGAGTTATTTATAAGTGTGTTTTAAATTTTCCTGATACAGACTTTTGTTGTTGTTGTAAGTCTACTGATTTCTAGTTTTATTCCTTGAATGTAGACTACATGATTTCTAATATCTGGTTTGTTGAGATAGAAAATCTCAAAGGAATTGGGGTTTAATGCCTAGTGGATTTTCTTAATGATCCATGTATGTTGGAAACAAACGTGTACTCTCAGTTTGTTGGGTACAATTCTTATATTTACAAACTTGGTATTTATGTTATTCAATTTGCTTCTATATTTACTAATTTTTTCAATTTCATTTCTAAGTGAAGTGTGTTTAGAGACTCTTACTGTGATTGTGGATGTGTCAATTTCTCTTTATACTTCCAGCTCATATCTCTTGTTGTTATATTGGGCTGTTTCTCTTTTTCTTGTTGATTTGTGGCAGTTCTTTGCATTTTAGGGAAATTAACCCCTGTTTGTTATATTCTCTCTCTAGCAGTCTTACAATTATTTTAAGAGAATTTGCATACAATTAATATTTTGAGAATATTGTATATTATTGAAAGGTTGGCTTAAAAGGGCTTCTGTTTTACAACATTTTGTTAGCCATTAGTGGATTTTTATTTGATTTGATATATTCTTGAAAATAAAGCTAAGTTTATTTTTAAATTTCTATAATGTCAATTTTTAACTTGTGTAGAACAACCTTCCCTAAATTACTGTAACTGTCGTTTTACTGTGACAAATTAGAAAATTAGAACAAAATCATTTGGCAAGATACAATAGTTTCAATAAAAATGTTATGACAACTCATTATGAGGTTATAAAAATCGAGTCAGTCATGGGGCCGTCCCCGTGGCATAGCAGTTAAGTGCGCGCACTCCGCTACTGGCGGCCCGGATTCGGATCCTGGGCGCGCACCCATGCACCGCTTGTCAGGCCATGCTGTGGCGGTGTCCCATATAAAGTGGAGGAAGATGGGCACGGATGTTAGCCCAGGGCCAGTCTTCCTCAGCAA